CAGTCAACACAAGCAAAGACACAATCAACGCAGTCAACACAAGCAGAGACACGATCAACGCAGTCAACACAAGCAGAGACACGGTCAACGCAATCAGCACAAGCAGAGTCACGGTCAACGCAGTCAGCACAAGCAGAGTCACGATCAACGCAGTCAGCACAAGCAAAGTCACGGTCAACAGAGTCTGCACAAGCAGAGTCACGGTCAACGCAGTCAACACAAGCAGAGTCACGGTCAACGCAGTCAACACAAGCAGAGACACGATCAACGCACTCAGCACAAGCAGAGTCACGGTCAACGCAGTCAGCACAAGCAGAGTCACGATCAACGCAGTCAGCACAAGCAGAGTCACGGTCAACGCAGTCAACACAAGCAGAGACACGGTCAACGTAGTCAGCACAAGCAGAGTCACGGTCAACGCAGTCAACACAAGCAGAGTCACGATCAACGCAGTCAGCACAAGCAGTTTCACGGTCAACGCAGTCAACACAAGCAGAGTCCCGGTCAGTGAACACAAGCAGAGACACGGTCAACGCAGTCAGCACAAGCAGAGTCACAACCAACGCAGTCAACACAAGCAGAGACACGGTCAACGCACTCAACACAAGCAGAGACACGGTCAACGCAGTCAGCACAAGGAGAGTCACGGTCAACTCAGTCAACACAAGCAGAGTCACGGTCAATGCAGTCAACACAAGCAGAGACACGGTAAACGCAGTCAGCACAAGCAGAGTCACGGTCAACACAGTCAACACAAGCAGAGTCACGGTCAACGCAGTCAACACAAGCAGAGACACGGTCAACGCAGTCAGCACAAGCAGAGTCACGGTCAACGCAGTCAGCACAAGCAGAGTCACAGTCAACGCAGTCAACACAAGCAGAGTCACGGTCAATGCAGTCAACACAAGCAGAGACACGATCAACGCAGTCAACACAAGCAGAGACACGGTCGACGCAGTCAACACAAGCAGAGTCACGGTCCACGCAGTCAGCATAAGCAGAGTCACGGTCAACGCAGTCAACACAAGCAGAGTCACGGTCAACGCAGTCAACACAAGCAAAGACACGATCAACGCAGTCAGCACAAGCAGAGTCACGGTCAACGCAAGTCAGCACAAGCAGAGTCACAATCAACGCAGTCAGCACAAGCAGAGTCACAGTCAACGCAGTCAACACAAGCAGAGACACGGTCAACGTAGTCAGCACAAGCAGAGTCACGGTCAACGCAGTCAACACAAGCAGAGTCACGATCAACGCAGTCAGCACAAGCAGAGTCACGGTCAACGCAGTCAACACAAGCAGAGTCCCGGTCAACGCAGTCAACACAAGCAGAGACACGGTCAACGCAGTCAACACAAGCAGAGACACAATCAACGCAGTCAACACAAGCAGAGACACGGTCAACGTAGTCAACACAAGCAGAGACACGGTCAACGCAATCAGCACAAGCAGAGTCACGGTCAACTCAGTCAACACAAGCAGAGTCACGGTCAACGCAGTCAACACAAGCAGAGACACGGTCAACGCAGTCAGCACAAGCAGAGTCACGGTCAACACAGTCAACACAAGCAGAGTCACGGTCAACGCAGTCAACACAAGCAGAGACACAGTCAACGCAGTCAGCACAAGCAGAGTCACGGTCAACGCAGTCAGCACAAGCAGAGTCACGGTCAACGCAGTCAACACAAGCAGAGACACGGTCAACGTAGTCAACACAAGCAGAGTCACGGTCAACGCAGTCAACACAAGCAGAGTCACGATCAACGCAGTCAGCACAAGCAGTGTCACGGTCAACGCAGTCAACACAAGCAGAGTCCCGGTCAACGCAGTCAACACAAGCAGAGACACGGTCAACGCAGTCAACACAAGCAGAGACACAATCAACGCAGTCAACACAAGCAGAGACACGGTCAACGTAGTCAACACAAGCAGAGACACGGTCAACGCAATCAGCACAAGCAGAGTCACGGTCAACTCAGTCAACACAAGCAGAGTCACGGTCAACGCAGTCAACACAAGCAGAGACACGGTCAACGCAGTCAGCACAAGCAGAGTCACGGTCAACACAGTCAACACAAGCAGAGTCACGGTCAACGCAGTCAACACAAGCAGAGACACAGTCAACGCAGTCAGCACAAGCAGAGTCACGGTCAACGCAGTCAGCACAAGCAGAGTCACGGTCAACGCAGTCAACACAAGCAGAGTCACGGTCAACGCAGTCAACACAAGCAGAGACACGATCAACGTAGTCAACACAAGCAGAGACACGGTCGACGCAGTCAACACAAGCAGAGTCACGGTCCACGCAGTCAGCATAAGCAGAGTCACGGTCAACGCAGTCAACACAAGCAGAGTCACGGTCAACGCAGTCAACACAAGTAGAGACACGATCAACGCAGTCAGCACAAGCAGAGTCACGGTCAACGCAGTCAGCACAAGCAGAGTCACGATCAACGCAGTCAGCACAAGCAGAGTCACGGTCAACGCAGTCAACACAAGCAGAGACACGGTCAACGTAGTCAGCACAAGCAGAGTCACGGTCAACGCAGTCAACACAAGCAGAGTCACGATCAACGCAGTCAGCACAAGCAGTGTCACGGTCAACGCAGTCAATACAAGCAGAGTCCCGGTCAACGCAGTCAACACAAGCAGAAACACGGTCAACGCAGTCAGCACAAGCAGAGTCACGGTCAACGGAGTCAGCACAAGCAGAGTCACGGTCAACGCAGTCAACACAAGCAAAGACACAATCAACGCAGTCAACACAAGCAGAGACACGATCAACGCAGTCAACACAAGCAGAGACACGGTCAACGCAATCAGCACAAGCAGAGTCACGGTCAACGCAGTCAGCACAAGCAGAGTCACGATCAACGCAGTCAGCACAAGCAAAGTCACGGTCAACAGAGTCTGCACAAGCAGAGTCACGGTCAACGCTGTCAACACAAGCAGAGACACGGTCAACGCAGTCAGCACAAGCAGAGTCACGGTCAACGCAGTCAGCACAAGCAGAGACACGGTCAACGCAGTCAACACAAGCAGAGACACAGTCAACGCAGTCAGCACAAGCAGAGTCACGGTCAACGCAGTCAGCACAAGCAGAGTCACGGTCAACGCAGTCAACACAAGAAGAGTCACGGTCAACGCAGTCAACACAAGCAGAGACACGATCAACGTAGTCAACACAAGCAGAGACACGGTCGACGCCGTCAACACAAGCAGAGTCACGGTCCACGCAGTCAGCATAAGCAGAGTCACGGTCAACGCAGTCAACACAAGCAGAGTCACGGTCAACGCAGTCAACACAAGTAGAGACACGATCAACGCAGTCAGCACAAGCAGAGTCACGGTCAACACAGTCAGCACAAGCAGAGTCACGATCAACGCAGTCAGCACAAGCACAGTCACGGTCAACGCAGTCAACACAAGCAGAGACACGGTCAACGTAGTCAGCACAAGCAGAGTCACGGTCAACGCAGTCAACACAAGCAGAGTCACGATCAACGCAGTCAGCACAAGCAGTGTCACGGTCAACACAGTCAATACAAGCAGAGTCCCGGTCAACGCAGTCAACACAAGCAGAGACACAGTCAACGCAGTCAGCACAAGCAGAGTCACGGTCAACGCAGTCAGCACAAGCAGAGTCACGGTCAACGCAGTCAACACAAGCAAAGACACAATCAACGCAGTCAACACAAGCAGAGACACGATCAACGCAGTCAACACAAGCAGAGACACGGTCAACGCAATCAGCACAAGCAGAGTCACGGTCAACGCAGTCAGCACAAGCAGAGTCACGATCAACGCAGTCAGCACAAGCAAAGTCACGGTCAACAGAGTCTGCACAAGCAGAGTCACGGTCAACGCTGTCAACACAAGCAGAGTCACGGTCAACGCAGTCAGCACAAGCAGAGTCACGGTCAACGCAGCCAGCACAAGCAGAGTCACGGTCAACGCATTCAACACAAGCAGAGTCACGGTCAACACAGTCAACACAAGCAGAGACACGGTCAACGCAGTCAACACAAGCAGAGACACGGTCAACGCAGTCAACACAAGCAGATTCACGGTCAACGCAGTCAGCACAAGCAGAGACACGGTCAACGTAGTCAGCACAAGCAGAGTCACGATCAACGCAGTCAGCACAAGCAGAGTCACGGTCAACGCAGTCAACACAAGCAGAGACACGGTCAACGTAGTCAGCACAAGCAGAGTCACGGTCAACGCAGTCAACACAAGCAGAGTCACGATCAACGCAGTCAGCACAAGCAGTTTCACGGTCAACGCAGTCAACACAAGCAGAGTCCCGGTCAACGCAGTGAACACAAGCAGAGACATGGTCAACGCAGTCAGCACAAGCAGAGTCACAATCAACGCAGTCAACACAAGCAGAGACACGGTCAACGCACTCAACACAAGCAGAGACACGGTCAACGCAGTCAGCACAAGGAGAGTCACGGTCAACTCAGTCAACACAAGCAGAGTCACGGTCAACGCAGTCAACACAAGCAGAGACACGGTAAACGCAGTCAGCACAAGCAGAGTCACGGTCAACACAGTCAACACAAGCAGAGTCACGGTCAACGCAGTCAACACAAGCAGAGACACGGTCAACGCAGTCAGCACAAGCAGAGTCACGGTCAACGCAGTCAGCACAAGCAGAGTCACAGTCAACGAAGTCAACACAAGCAGAGTCACGGTCAACGCAGTCAACACAAGCAGAGACACGATCAACGCAGTCAACACAAGCAGAGACACGGTCGACGCAGTCAACACAAGCAGAGTCACGGTCCACGCAGTCAGCATAAGCAGAGTCACGGTCAACGCAGTCAACACAAGCAGAGTCACGGTCAACGCAGTCAACACAAGCAAAGACACGATCAACGCAGTCAGCACAAGCAGAGTCACGGTCAACGCAGTCAGCACAAGCAGAGTCACAATCAACGCAGTCAGCACAAGCAGAGTCACAGTCAACGCAGTCAACACAAGCAGAGACACGGTCAACGTAGCAGATTCACGGACAACGCAGTCAACACAAGCAGAGTCACGATCAACGCAGTCAGCACAAGCAGTGTCACGGTCAACGCAGTCAACACAAGCAGAGTCCCGGTCAACGCAGTCAACACAAGCAGAGACACGGTCAACGCAGTCAACACAAGCAGAGACACAATCAACGCAGTCAACACAAGCAGAGACACGGTCAACGTAGTCAACACAAGCAGAGACACGGTCAACGCAATCAGCACAAGCAGAGTCACGGTCAACTCAGTCAACACAAGCAGAGTCACGGTCAACGCAGTCAACACAAGCAGAGACACGGTCAACGCAGTCAGCACAAGCAGAGTCACGGTCAACACAGTCAACACAAGCAGAGTCACGGTCAACGCAGTCAACACAAGCAGAGACACAGTCAACGCAGTCAGCACAAGCAGAGTCACGGTCAACGCAGTCAGCACAAGCAGAGTCACGGTCAACGCAGTCAACACAAGCAGAGTCACGGTCAACGCAGTCAACACAAGCAGAGACACGATCAACGTAGTCAACACAAGCAGAGACACGGTCGACGCAGTCAACACAAGCAGAGTCACGGTCCACGCAGTCAGCATAAGCAGAGTCACGGTCAACGCAGTCAACACAAGCAGAGTCACGGTCAACGCAGTCAACACAAGTAGAGACACGATCAACGCAGTCAGCACAAGCAGAGTCACGGTCAACGCAGTCAGCACAAGCAGAGTCACGATCAACGCAGTCAGCACAAGCAGAGTCACGGTCAACGCAGTCAACACAAGCAGAGACACGGTCAACGTAGTCAGCACAAGCAGAGTCACGGTCAACGCAGTCAACACAAGCAGAGTCACGATCAACGCAGTCAGCACAAGCAGTGTCACGGTCAACGCAGTCAATACAAGCAGAGTCCCGGTCAACGCAGTCAACACAAGCAGAGACACGGTCAACGCAGTCAGCACAAGCAGAGTCACGGTCAACGCAGTCAGCACAAGCAGAGTCACGGTCAACGCAGTCAACACAAGCAAAGACACAATCAACGCAGTCAACACAAGCAGAGACACGATCAACGCAGTCAACACAAGCAGAGACACGGTCAACGCAATCAGCACAAGCAGAGTCACGGTCAACGCAGTCAGCACAAGCAGAGTCACGATCAACGCAGTCAGCACAAGCAAAGTCACGGTCAACAGAGTCTGCACAAGCAGAGTCACGGTCAACGCTGTCAACACAAGCAGAGACACGGTCAACGCAGTCAGCACAAGCAGAGTCACGGTCAACGCAGTCAGCACAAGCAGAGACACGGTCAACGCAGTCAACACAAGCAGAGACACAGTCAACGCAGTCAACACAAGCAGAGTCACGGTCAACGCAGTCAGCACAAGCAGAGTCACGGTCAACGCAGTCAACACAAGCAGAGTCACGGTCAACGCAGTCAACACAAGCAGAGACACGATCAACGTAGTCAACACAAGCAGAGACACGGTCGACGCAGTCAACACAAGCAGAGTCACGGTCCACGCAGTCAGCATAAGTAGAGTCACGGTCAACGCAGTCAACACAAGCAGAGTCACGGTCAACGCAGTCAACACAAGTAGAGACACGATCAACGCAGTCAGCACAAGCAGAGTCACGGTCAACGCAGTCAGCACAAGCAGAGTCACGATCAACGCAGTCAGCACAAGCAGAGTCACGATCAACGCAGTCAACACAAGCAGAGACACGGTCAACGTAATCAGCACAAGCAGAGTCACGGTCAACGCAGTCAACACAAGAAGAGTCACGATCAACGCAGTCAGCACAAGCAGTGTCACGGTCAACGCAGTCAATACAAGCAGAGTCCCGGTCAACGCAGTCAACACAAGCAGAGACACGGTCAACGCAGTCAGCACAAGCAGAGTCACGGTCAACGCAGTCAGCACAAGCAGAGTCACGGTCAACGCAGTCAACACAAGCAAAGACACAATCAACGCAGTCAACACAAGCAGAGACACGATCAACGCAGTCAACACAAGCAGAGACACGGTCAACGCAATCAGCACAAGCAGAGTCACGGTCAACGCAGTCAGCACAAGCAGAGTCACGATCAACGCAGTCAGCACAAGCAAAGTCACGGTCAACAGAGTCTGCACAAGCAGAGTCACGGTCAACGCTGTCAACACAAGCAGAGTCACGGTCAACGCAGTCAGCACAAGCAGAGTCACGGTCAACGCAGTCAGCACAAGCAGAGTCACGGTCAACTCAGTCAACACAAGCAGAGTCACGGTCAACACAGTCAACACAAGCAGAGACACGGTCAACGCAGTCAACACAAGCAGAGACACGGTCAACGCAGTCAACACAAGCAGAGTCACGGTCAACGCAGTCAGCACAAGCAGAGACACGGTCAACGTAGTCAGCACAAGCAGAGTCACGGTCAACGCAGTCAACACAAGCAGAGTCACGGTCAACGAAGTCAACACAAGCATAAACATGGTCAACGCAGTCAGCACAAGCAGAATCACGGTCAACTCAGTCAGCACAAGCAGAGTCACGGTCAACGCAGTCAGCACAAGCAGAGTCACGGTCAACACAGTCAGCACAAGCAGAGTCACGATCAACAGAGTCAGCACAACCAGAGTCACGGTCAACGCAGTCAATACAAGCAGAGACACGGTCAACGCAATCAGCACAAGCAGAGTCACGGTCAAGGCAGTCAGCACAAGCAGAGTCACGGTCAACGCAGTCAACACACGCAGAGTCACGGTCAATACAGTCAACACAAGCAAAGACACGGTCAACGCAGTCAACACAAGCAGAGACACGGTCGACGCAGTCAACACAAGCAGAGTCACGGTCAACACAGTCAGCACAAGTAAAGTCACGGTCAACGCAGTCAACACAAGCAGAGACACGGTCAACGCAGTCAGCACAAGTAGAGTCACGGTCAACGCGGTCAGCACAAGTAGAGTCACGGTCAACGCAGTCAGCACAAGCAGAGTCACGGTCAACGTTGTCAACACAAGCAGAGACACGGTCAACGCAGTCAGCACAAGTAGAGACACGCTCAACGCAGTCAGCACAAGCAGAGTCACGGTCAACGCAGTCAGCACAAGCAGAGTCACGGTCAACGCAGTCAACACAAGCAGAGACACGGTCAACGCAGTCAACACAAGCAGAGACACGGTCGACGCAGTCAACACAAGCAGAGTCACGGTCAACGCAGTCAGCACAAGCAAAGTCACGGTCAACGCAGTCAACACAAGCAGAGACACGGTCAACGCACTCAGCACAAGCAGAGTCACGGTCAACGTAGTCAGCACAAGCAGAGTCACGGTCAACGCAGTCAACACAAGCAGAGTCACGGTCAACGCAGTCAACACAAGCAGAGACACGATCAACGCAGTCAACACAAGCAGAGACACGGTCAACGCAGTCAGCACAAGCAGAGTCACGGTCAACGCAGTCAGCACAAGCAGAGTCACGGTCAACGCAGTCAACACAAGCAGAGACACGGTCAACGCAGTCAACACAAGCAGAGACACGGTCGACGCAGTCAACACAAGCAGAGTCACGGTCAACGCAGTCAGCACAAGCAAAGTCACGGTCAACGCAGTCAACACAAGCAGAGACACGGTCAACGCAGTCAGCACAAGCAGAGTCACGGTCAACGCAGTCAGCACAAGCAGAGTCACGGTCAACGCAGTCAACACAAGCAGAGTCACGGTCAACGCAGTCAACACAAGCAGAGACACGATCAACGCAGTCAACACAAGCAGAGACACGGTCGACGCAGTCAACACAAGCAGAGTCACGGTCCACGCAGTCAGCATAAGCAGAGTCACGGTCAACGCAGTCAACACAAGCAGAGTCACGGTCAACACAGTCAGCACAAGCAGAGTCACGGTCAACGCAGGCAACACAGGCAGAGTCACGGTCAACGCAGTCAGCACAAGCAGAGTCACGGTCAACGCAGTCAGCACAAGCAGAGTCACGGTCAACGCAGTCAACACAAGCAGAGACACGGTCAACGCAGTCAACACAAGCAGAGACACGGTCGACGCAGTCAACACAAGCAGAGTCACGGTCAACGCAGTCAGCACAAGCAAAGTCACGGTCAACGCAGTCAACACAAGCAGAGACACGGTCAACGCACTCAGCACAAGCAGAGTCACGGTCAACGCAGTCAGCACAAGCAGAGTCACGGTCAACGCAGTCAACACAAGCAGAGTCACGGTTAACGCAGTCAACACAAGCAGAGACACGATCAACGCAGTCAACACAAGCAGAGACACGGTCAACGCAGTCAGCACAAGCAGAGTCACGGTCAACGCAGTCAGCACAAGCAGAGTCACGGTCAACGCAGTCAACACAAGCAGAGACACGGTCAACGCAGTCAACACAAGCAGAGACACGGTCGACGCAGTCAGCACAAGCAAAGTCACGGTCAACGCAGTCAACACAAGCAAAGACACGGTCAACGCAGTCAGCACAAGCAGAGTCACGGTCAACGCAGTCAGCACAAGCAGAGTCACGGTCAACGCAGTCAACACAAGCAGAGTCACGGTCAACGCAGTCAACACAAGCAGAGACACGATCAACGCAGTCAACACAAGCAGAGACACGGTCGACGCAGTCAACACAAGCAGAGTCACGGTCCACGCAGTCAGCATAAGCAGAGTCACGGTCAACGCAGTCAACACAAGCAGAGTCACGGTCAACACAGTCAGCACAAGCAGAGTCACGGTCAACGCAGGCAACACAGGCAGAGTCACGGTCAACGCAGTCAACACAAGTAGAGACACGGTCAACGCAGTCAGCACAAGCAGAGTCACGGTCAACTCAGTCAACACAAGCAGAGTCACGGTCAACGCAGTCAACACAAGCAGAGACACGGTCAACGCAGTCAGCACAAGCAGAGTCACGGTCAACACAGTCAGCACAATCAGAGTCACGGTCAACGCAGTCAACACAAGCAGAGTCACGGTCAACGCAGTCAACACAAGCAGAGACACGGTCAACGCAGTCAACACAAGCAGAGACACGGTCAACGCAGTCAACACAAGCAGAGTCACAGTCGACGCAGTCAGCACAAGCAGAGTCACGGTCAACGCAGTCAGCACAAGCAGAGTCACGGTCAACGCAGTCAGCACAAGCAGAGTCACGGTCAACGCAGTCAACAAAAGCAAAGACACAATCAACGCAGTCAACACAAGCAGAGACACGATCAACGCAGTCAACACAAGCAGAGACACGGTCAACGCAATCAGCACAAGCAGAGTCACGGTCAACGCAGTCAGCACAAGCAGAGTCACGATCAACGCAGTCAGCACAAGCAAAGTCACGGTCAACAGCGTCTGCACAAGCAGAGTCACGGTCAACGCTGTCAACACAAGCAGAGTCACGGTCAACGCAGTCAGCACAAGCAGAGTCACGGTCAACGCAGTCAGCACAAGCAGAGTCACGGTCAACTCAGTCAACACAAGCAGAGTCACGGTCAACACAGTCAACACAAGCAGAGACACGGTCAACGCAGTCAACACAAGCAGAGACACGGTCAACGCAGTCAACACAAGCAGAGTCACGGTCAACGCAGTCAGCACAAGCAGAGACACGGTCAACGTAGTCAGCACAAGCAGAGTCACGGTCAACGCAGTCAACACAAGCAGAGTCACGGTCAACGAAGTCAACACAAGCATAAACATGGTCAACGCAGTCAGCACAAGCAGAATCACGGTCAACTCAGTCAGCACAAGCAGAGTCACGGTCAACGCAGTCAGCACAAGCAGAGTCACGGTCAACACAGTCAGCACAAGCAGAGTCACGATCAACAGAGTCAGCACAACCAGAGTCACGGTCAACGCAGTCAATACAAGCAGAGACACGGTCAACGCAATCAGCACAAGCAGAGTCACGGTCAAGGCAGTCAGCACAAGCAGAGTCACGGTCAACGCAGTCAACACACGCAGAGTCACGGTCAATACAGTCAACACAAGCAAAGACACGGTCAACGCAGTCAACACAAGCAGAGACACGGTCGACGCAGTCAACACAAGCAGAGTCACGGTCAACACAGTCAGCACAAGTAAAGTCACGGTCAACGCATTCAACACAAGCAGAGACACGGTCAACGCAGTCAGCACAAGTAGAGTCACGGTCAACGCAGTCAGCACAAGTAGAGTCACGGTCAACGCAGTCAGCACAAGCAGAGTCACGGTCAACGTTGTCAACACAAGCAGAGACACGGTCAACGCAGTCAGCACAAGTAGAGACACGCTCAACGCAGTCAGCACAAGCAGAGTCACGGTCAACGCAGTCAGCACAAGCAGAGTCACGGTCAACGCAGTCAACACAAGCAGAGACACGGTCAACGCAGTCAACACAAGCAGAGACACGGTCGACGCAGTCAACACAAGCAGAGTCACGGTCAACGCAGTCAGCACAAGCAAAGTCACGGTCAACGCAGTCAACACAAGCAGAGACACGGTCAACGCACTCAGCACAAGCAGAGTCACGGTCAACGCAGTCAGCACAAGCAGAGTCACGGTCAACGCAGTCAACACAAGCAGAGTCACGGTCAACGCAGTCAACACAAGCAGAGACACGATCAACGCAGTCAACACAAGCAGAGACACGGTCAACGCAGTCAGCACAAGCAGAGTCACGGTCAACGCAGTCAGCACAAGCAGAGTCACGGTCAACGCAGTCAACACAAGCAGAGACACGGTCAACGCAGTCAACACAAGCAGAGACACGGTCGACGCAGTCAACACAAGCAGAGTCACGGTCAACGCAGTCAGCACAAGCAAAGTCACGGTCAACGCAGTCAACACAAGCAGAGACACGGTCAACGCAGTCAGCACAAGCAGGGTCACGGTCAACGCAGTCAGCACAAGCAGATTCACGGTCAACGCAGTCAACACAAGCAGAGTCACGGTCAACGCAGTCAACACAAGCAGAGACACGATCAACGCAGTCAACACAAGCAGAGACACGGTCGACGCAGTCAACACAAGCAGAGTCACGGTCCACGCAGTCAGCATAAGCAGAGTCACGGTCAACGCAGTCAACACAAGCAGAGTCACGGTCAACACAGTCAGCACAAGCAGAGTCACGGTCAACGCAGGCAACACAGGCAGAGTCACGGTCAACGCAGTCAGCACAAGCAGAGTCACGGTCAACGCAGTCAGCACAAGCAGAGTCACGGTCAACGCAGTCAACACAAGCAGAGACACGGTCAACGCAGTCAACACAAGCAGAGACACGGTCGACGCAGTCAACACAAGCAGAGTCACGATCAACGCAGTCAGCACAAGCAAAGTCACGGTCAACGCAGTCAACACAAGCAGAGACACGGTCAACGCACTCAGCACAAGCAGAGTCACGGTCAACGCAGTCAGCACAAGCAGAGTCACGGTCAACGCAGTCAACACAAGCAGAGTCACGGTCAACGCAGTCAACACAAGCAGAGACACGATCAACGCAGTCAACACAAGCAGAGACACGGTCAACGCAGTCAGCACAAGCAGAGTCACGGTCAACGCAGTCAGCACAAGCAGAGTCACGGTCAACGCAGTCAACACAAGCAGAGACACGGTCAACGCAGTCAACACAAGCAGAGACACGGTCGACGCAGTCAACACAAGCAGAGTCACGGTCAACGCAGTCAGCACAAGCAAAGTCACGGTCAACGCAGTCAACACAAGCAGAGACACGGTCAACGCAGTCAGCACAAGCAGAGTCACGGTCAACGCAGTCAGCACAAGCAGAGTCACGGTCAACGCAGTCAACACAAGCAGAGTCACGGTCAACGCAGTCAACACAAGCAGAGACACGATCAACGCAGTCAACACAAGCAGAGACACGGTCGACGCAGTCAACACAAGCAGAGTCACGGTCCACGCAGTCAGCATAAGCAGAGTCACGGTCAACGCAGTCAACACAAGCAGAGTCACGGTCAACACAGTCAGCACAAGCAGAGTCACGGTCAACGCAGGCAACACAGGCAGAGTCACGGTCAACGCAGTCAACACAAGTAGAGACACGGTCAACGCAGTCAGCACAAGCAGAGTCACGGTCAACTCAGTCAACACAAGCAGAGTCACGGTCAACGCAGTCAACACAAGCAGAGACACGGTCAACGCAGTCAGCACAAGCAGAGTCACGGTCAACACAGTCAGCACAATCAGAGTCACGGTCAACGCAGTCAACACAAGCAGAGTCACGGTCAATGCAGTCAACACAAGCAGAGACACGGTCAACGCAGTCAACACAAGCAGAGACACGGTCAACGCAGTCAACACAAGCAGAGTCACAGTCGACGCAGTCAGCACAAGCAGAGTCACGGTCAACGCAGTCAGCACAAGCAGAGTCACGGTCAACACAGTCAGCACAAGCAGAGTCACGGTCAACGCAGGCAACACAAGCAGAGTCACGGTCAATGCAGTCAACACAAGCAGAGACACGGTCAACGCAGTCAGCACAAGCAGAGTCACGGTCAACTCAGTCAACACAAGCAGAGTCACGGTCAACGCAGTCAACACAAGCAGAGACACGGTCAACGCAGTCAGCACAAGCAGAATCACGGTCAACTCAGTCAGCACAAGCAGAGTCACGGTCAACGCAGTCAGCACAAGCAGAGTCACGGTCAACACAGTCAGCACAAGCAGAGTCACGGTCAACAGAGTCAGCACAACCAGAGTCACGGTCAATGCAAACAACACAAGCAGAGACACGGTCAACGCAGTCAACACAAGCAGAGACACGGTCAACGCAGTCAACACAAGCAGAGACACGGGCAACGCAGTCAGCACAAGCAGAGTCACGGTCAACGTAGTCAGCACAAGAAGAGTCACGATCAACGCAGTCAGCACAAGCAGAGTCACGATCAAGGCAGTCAGCACAAGCAGAGTCACGGTCAACGCAGTCAACACACGCAGAGTCACGGTCAACGCAGTCAACACAAGCAGAGACACGGCCAACGCAGTCAACACAAGCAGAGACACGGTCAACGCAGTCAACACAAGCAGAGTCACGGTCAACGCAGTCAGCACAAGCAAAGTCACGGTCAACGCAGTCAACACAAGCAGAGACACGGTCAACGCAGTCAGCACAAGCAGAGTCACGGTCAACGCAGTCAACACAAGCAGAGACACGATCAACGCAGTCAACACAAGCAGAGACACGGTCGACGTAGTCAACACAAGCAGAGTCACGGTCCACGCAGTCAGCATAAGCAGAGTCACGGTCAACGCAGTCAACACAAGCAGAGTCACGGTCAACGCAGTCAACACAAGCAGAGACACGATCAACGCAGTCAGCACAAGCAGAGTCACGGTCAACGCAGTCAACACAAGCAGAGTCACGATCAACGCAGTCAGCACAAGCAGAGTCACGGTCAACGCAGTCAACACAAGCAGAGTCACGGTCAACGCAGTCAACACAAGCAGAGACACGGTCAACGTAGTCAACACAAGCAGAGACACGGTCGACGCAGTCAACACAAGCAGGGTCACGGTCAACGCAGTCAGCACAAGCAGAGTCACGGTCAACGCAGTCAACACAAGCAGAGACACGGTCAACGCAGTCAACACAAGCAGAGACACGGTCGACGCAAACAGCACAAGCAGAGTCACGGTCAACGCAGTCAACACAAGCAGAGTCACGGTCAACGCAGTCAGCACAAGCAGAGTCACGGTCAACGCAGTCAGCACAAGCAGAGCCACGGTCAACTCAGTCAACACAAGCAGAGTCACGGTCAACGCAGTCAACACAAGCAGAGACACGGTCAACGCAGTCAGCACAAGCAGAGTCACGGTCAACACAGTCAGCACAATCAGAGTCACGGTCAACGCAGTCAACACAAGCAGAGTCACGGTCAACGCAGTCAACACAAGCAGAGACACGGTCAACGCAGTCAACACAAGCAGAGACACGGTCAACGCAGTCAACACAAGCAGAGTCACAGTCAACGCAGTCAGCACAAGCAGAGTCACGGTCAACGCAGTCAGCACAAGCAGAGTCACGGTCAACACAGTCAACACAAGCAGAGTCACGGTCAACGCAGGCAACACAAGCAGAGTCACGGTCAATGCAGTCAATACAAGCAGAGACACGGTCAACGCAGTCAGCACAAGCAGAGTCACGGTCAACTCAGTCAACACAAGCAGAGTCACGGTCAACGCAGTCAACACAAGCAGAGACACGGTCAACGCAGTCAGCACAAGCAGAATCACGGTCAACTCAGTCAGCACAAGCAGAGTCACGGTCAACGCAGTCAGCACAAGCAGAGTCACGGTCAACACAGTCAGCACAAGCAGAGTCACGGTCAACAGAGTCAGCACAACCAGAGTCACGGTCAACGCAAACAACACAAGCAGAGACACAGTCAACGCAGTCAACACAAGCAGAGACACGGTCAATGCAGTCAACACAAGCAGAGACACGGGCAACGCAGTCAGCACAAGCAGAGTCACGGTCAACGCAGTCAGCACAAGAAGAGTCACGATCAACGCAGTCAGCACAAGCAGAGTCACGGTCAAGGCAGTCAGCACAAGCAGAGTCACGGTCAACGCAGTCAACACACGCAGAGTCACGGTCAACACAGTCAACACAAGTTGAGACACGGCCAACGCAGTCAACACAAGCAGAGACACGGTCGACGCAGTCAACACAAGCAGAGTCATGGTCAGCGCAGTCAGCACAAGTAAAGTCACGGTCAACGCAGTCAACACAAGCAGAGACACGGTCAACGCAGTCAGCACAAGCAGAGTTACGGTCAACGCAGTCAGCACAAGCAGAGTCACGATCAACGCAGTCAGCACAAGCAGAGTCACGGTCAACGCAGTCAACACAAGCAGAGTCACGATCAACGCAGTCAACACAAGCAGAGACACGGTCAACGTAGTCAACACAAGCAGAGACACGGTCGACGCAGTCAACACAAGCAGGGTCACGGTCAACGCAGTCAGCACAAGCAGAGTCATGGTCAACGCAGTCAACACAAGCAGAGTCACGGTCAACGCAGTCAACACAAGCAGAGACACGGTCAACGTAGTCAGCACAAGCAGAGTCACGGTCAACGCAGTCAACACAAGCAGAGACACGGTCAACGCAGTCAGCACAAGCAGAGTTACGGTCAACGCAGTCAACACAAGCAGAGACACGATCAACGCAGTCAACACAAGCAGAGACACGGTCGACGCAGTCAACACAAGCAGAGTCACGGTCCACGCAGTCAGCATAAGCAGTGTCACGGTCAACGCAGTCAACACAAGCAGAGTCACGGTCAACGCAGTCAACACAAGTAGAGACACGATCAACGCAGTCAGCACAAGCAGAGTCACGGTCAACGCAGTCAGCACAAGCAGAGTCACGATCAACGCAGTCAGCACAAGCAGAGTCACGGTCAACGCAGTCAACACAAGCAGAGTCACGGTCAACGCAGTCAACACAAGCAGAGACACGGTCAACGTAGTCAACACAAGCAGAGACACGGTCGACGCAGTCAACACAAGCAGGGTCACGGTCAACGCAGTCAGCACAAGCAGAGTCATGGTCAACGCAGTCAACACAAGCAGAGTCACGGTCAACGCAGTCAACACAAGCAGAGACACAGTCAACGTAGTCAGCACAAGCAGAGTCACGGTCAACGCAGTCAACACAAGCAAAGACACGGTCAACGCATTCAACACAAGCAGAGACACGGTCGACGCAAACAGCACAAGCAGAGTCACGGTCAACGCAGTCAGCACAAGCAGAGTCACGGTCAACGCAGTCAGCACAAGCAGAGTCACGGTCAACGCAGTCAACACAAGCAGAGTCACGGTCAACACAGTCAGCACAAACAGAGTCACGGTCAACGCAGGCAACACAAGCAGAGTCACGGTCAACGCAGTCAACACAAGCAGAGACATGGTCAACGCAGTCAGCACAAGCAGAGTCACGGTCAACTCAGTCAACACAAGCAGAGTCACGGTCAACGAAGTCAACACAAGCAGAAACATGGTCAACGCAGTCAGCACAAGCAGAATCACGGTCAACTCAGTTAGCACAAGCAGAGTCACGGTCAATGCAGTCAGCACAAGCAGAGTCACGGTCAACACAGTCAGCACAAGCAGAGTCACGATCAACAGAGTCAGCACAACCGGAGTCACGGTCAACGCAGTCAATACAAGCAGAGACACGGTCAACGCAGTCAACAGAAGAAGAGTCACGATCAACGCAATCAGCAGAAGCAGAGTCACGGTCAAGGCAGTCAGCACAAGCAGAGTCACGGTCAACGCAGTCAACACACGCAGAGTCACGGTCAATACAGTCAACACAAGCAAAGACACGGTCAACGCAGTCAACACAAGCAGAGACACGGTCGACGCAGTCAACACAAGCAGAGTCACGGTCAACGCAGTCAGCACAAGTAAAATCACGGTCAACGCAGTCAACACAAGCAGAGTCACGGTCAACGCAGTCAGCACAAGTAGAGTCACGGTCAACGCAGTCAACACAAGCAGAGTCACGGTCAACGTTGTCAACACAAGCAGAGACACGGTCAACGCAGTCAGCACAAGCAGAGACACGCTCAACGCAGTCAGCACAAGCAGAGTCACGGTCAACGCAGTCAGCACAAGCAGAGTCACGGTCAACGCAGTCAACACAAGCAGAGACACGGTCAACGCAGTCAACACAAGCAGAGACACGGTCGACGCAGTCAACACAAGCAGAGTCGCGGTCAACGCAGTCAGCACAAGCAAAGTCACGGTCAACGCAGTCAACACAAGCAGAGACACGGTCAACGCAGTCAGCACAAGCAGAGTCACGGTCAACGCAGTCAGCACAAGCAGAGTCACGGTCAACGCAGTCAACACAAGCAGAGTCACGGTCAACGCAGTCAACACAAGCAGAGACACGATCAACGCAGTCAACACAAGAAGAGACACGGTCGACGCAGTCAACACAAGCAGAGTCACGGTCCACGCAGTCAGCATAAGCAGAGTCACGGTCAACGCAGTCAACACAAGCAGAGTCACGGTCAACACAGTCAGCACAAGCAGAGTCACGGTCAACGCAGGCAACACAAGCAGAGTCACGGTCAACGCAGTCAACACAAGTAGAGACACGGTCAACGCAGTCAGCACAAGCAGAGTCACGGTCAACTTAGTCAACACAAGCAGAGTCACGGTCAACGCAGTCAACACAAGCAGAGACACGGTCAACGCAGTCAGCACAAGGAGAGTCACGGTCAACACAGTCAGCACAATCAGAGTCACGGTCAACGCAGTCAACACAAGCAGAGACACGGTCAACGCAGTCAACACAAGCAGAGACACGGTCAACGCAGTCAACACAAGCAGAGTCACAGTCGACGCAGTCAGCACAAGCAGAGTCACGGTCAACGCAGTCAACACAAGTAGAGACACGGTCAACGCAGTCAGCACAAGCAGAGTCACGGTCAACGCAGTCAACACAAGCAGAGTCACGGTCAACGCAGTCAACACAAGCAGAGACACGGTCAACGCAGTCAACACAAGCAGAGACACGGTCAACGCAGTCAACACAAGCAGAGTCACAGTCGACGCAGTCAGCACAAGCAGAGTCACGGTCAACGCAGTCAGCACAAGCAGAGTCACGGTCAACACAGTCAGCACAAGCAGAGTCTCGGTGAACGCAGTCAACACAAGCAGAGTAACGGTCAACGCAGTCAACACAAGCAGAGTCACGATCAACGCAGTCAGCAGAAGCATTGTCACGGTCAACGCAGTCAGCACAAGCAGAGTCACGGTCAACGCAGTCAACACAAGCAGAGACATGGTCAACGCAGTCAGCACAAGCAGAGTCACGGTCAACGCAGTCAACACAAGCAGAGTCACGGTCAACGCAGTCAACACAAGCAGAGACACGATCAACGCAGTCAACACAAGCAGAGACACGATCAACGCAATCAGCACAAGCAGAGTCACTGTCAACTCAGTCAACACAAGCACAGTCACGGTCAACGCAGTCAACACAAGCAGAGACACGGTCAACGCAGTCAGCACAAGCAGAATCACGGTCAACTCAGTTAGCACAAGCAGAGTCACGGTCAACGCAGTCAGCACAAGCAGAGTCACGGTCAACAGAGTCAGCACAACCAGATTCACGGTCAACGCAGTCAACACAAGCAGAGACACGGTCAACGCAGTCAACACAAGCAGAGACACGGTCAACGCTATCAGCACAAGCAGAGTCACGGTCAACGCAGTCAGCACAAGAAGAGTCACGATCAACGCAGTCAGCACAAGCAGAGTCACGGTCAACGCAGTCAACACACGCAGTGTCACGGTCAACGCAGTCAATACAAGCAGAGACACGGTCAACGTAGTCAACACAAGCAGAGACACGGTCGACGCTGTCAACACAAGCAGAGTCACGGTCAACGTAGTCAGCACAAGCAAAGTCACGGTTAACGCAGTCAACACAAGCAGAGACACGGTCAACGCAGTCAGCACAAGCAGAGTCACGGTCAACGCAGTCAACACAAGCAGAGACACGATCAACGCAGTCAACACAAGCAGAGACATGGTCGACGCAGTCAACACAAGCAGAGTCACGGTCCACGCAGTCAGCATAAGCAGAGTCACGGTCAACGCAGTCAACACAAGCAGAGTCACGGTCAACGCAGTCAACACAAGCAGAGACACGATCAACGCAGTCAGCACAAGCAGAGTCACGGTCAACGCAGTCAGCACAAGCAGAGTCGCGATCAACGCAGTCAGCACAAGCAGAGTCACGGTCAACGCAGTCAACACAAGCAGAGTCACGGTCAACGCAGTCAACACAAGCAGAGACATAATCAACGTAGTCAACACAAGCAGAGACACGGTCGACGCAGTCAACACAAGCAGGGTCACGGTCAACGCAGTCAGCACAAGCAGAGTCACGGTCAACGGAGTCAACACAAGCAGAGTCACGGTCAACGCAGTCAACACAAGCAGAGTCACGGTCAACGCACTCAACACAAGCAGAGACACGGTCAACGCAGTCAGCACAAGCAGAGTCACCGTCAACGCAGTCAGCACAAGCAGAGTCACGGTCAACGCAGTCAACACAAGCAGAGACACAGTCAACGCAGTCAAGAGAAGCAGAGACACGGTCAACGCAGTCAACACAAGCAGAGACACGGTCAACGCAATCAGCACAAGCAGAGTCACGGTCAACGCAGTCAGCACAAGCAGAGTCACGATCAACGCAGTCAGCACAAGCAGAGTCACGGTCAACAGAGTGAGCACAAGCAGAGTCACGGTCAACGCTGTCAACACAAGCAGAGACACGGTCAACGCAGTCAGCACAAGCAGAGTCACAATCAACGCAGTCAGCACAAGCAGAGTCACGGTCAACGCAGTCAACACAAGCAGAGTCACGGTTAACGCAGTCAACACAAGCAGAGACACGGTCAACGCAGTCAACACAAGCAGAGACACGGTCAACGCAGTCAACACAAGCAGAGTCACGGTCAACGCAGTCAGCACAAGCAGAGTCACGGTCAACGCAGTCAGCACAAGCAGAGTCACGGTCAACGCAGTCAACACAAGCAGAGACACGGTCAACGCAGTCAGCACAAGCTGAGTCACGGTCAAGGCAGTCAGCACAAGCAGAGTCACGGTCAACGCAGTCAACACAAGCAGAGACACGGTCAACGCAGTCAGCACAAGCAGAGTCACGGTCAACGCAGTCAGCACAAGCAGAGTCACGATCAACGCAGTCAACACAAGCAGAGTCACGGTCAACGCAGTCAACACAAGCAAAGACACGGTCAACGCAGTCAACACAAGCAGAGACACGGTCGACGCAGTCAGCACATGCAGAGTCACGGTCAACGCAGTCAGCACAAGCAGAGTCACGGTCAACGCAGTCAGCACAGGCAGAGTCACGGTCAACATAGTCAGCACAAGCAGAGTCACGGTCAACGCAGTCAACACAAGCAGAGTCACGGTCAACGCAGTCAACACAAGCAAAGACACGGTCAACGCAGTCAACACAAGTAGAGACACGGTCAACGCAGTCAACACAAGCAGAATCACAGTCAACGCAGTCAGCACAAGCAGAGTCACGGTCAACGCAGTCAGCACGAGCAGAGTCACGGTCGACACAGTCAGCACAAGCAGAGTCACGGTCAACGCAGGCAACACAAGCAGAGTCACGGTCAACGCAGTCAACACAAGCAGAGACACGGTCAACGCAGGCAGCACAAGCAGAGTCACGGTCAACTCAGTCAACACAAGCAGAGTCACGGTCAACGCAGTCAACAGAAGCAGAGACACGGTCAACGCAGTCAGCACAAGCAGAATCACGGTCAACTCAGTCAGCACAAGCAGAGTCACGGTCAACGCAGTCAGCACAAGCAGAGTCACGATCAACACAGTCAGCACAAGCAGAGTCACGGTCAACGCAGTCAGCACAACCAGAGTCACGGTCAACGCAGTCAACACAAGCAGAGTCACGGTCAACGCACCACTCACTTCACGCTGGTGGTGGCGTATTTGAACTTGGTGGGCGTTACAGCCGTCCACGTGCCAGGGATCTCAAACACCCCCACTGGGTAGGCTTCGGCGCAATCAGGCTGGTTCCAGAAGGCGACCTTGCCGCACACCAGGTGATCCGCCACGCCATCATTCACGTTCCACATCACGCGCAGCGACTGCAGATTGCCAGACGCGAATTCCCGTGGTATGTTCACACAGGCCGAAGTGTTGGGTGGCGGGGCGCGCAGCACAGCAGGTGCGAGAGAGCGGGGGTTGTTGATAAAGGAGGGGCGGTTATAGAGCACCACGTTGGTGCCCACTGCCGTCCAGCTCTTGGCTGTGGCGCACTTGCCGTAGATTATGGCCTGCCCGGCCGGGCACTTGCAAAAAGGGAAGCCGCTGCCGTCCACCACGCGCGACGCGCCTTCTGGGCAGACAACACCATTTGGGCATTTGGCTGGAGGCGGGGAGAGCGCACGTTGAGTTGGAGAAGGGGCATGAGGAGATGCAACACTGGAACCATGACCTTGGGATGGAAAAGTCATGAGCGACTTAACAAGACGGCCTGGGTGCGGCTGGTCCGGGCGCGGCTTGTCCGTAGTAAAGGTGGAGCGAAAACTGCAGTTACGACGGCTGTCTCTCCTCAGAACGACAATGACTCACCTCAGAACGACAGTGACTCACCTTAGAACGACAATGACTCACCTCAAAACGGCAGTGACTCACCTCAGAACGACAATGACTCACCTCAGAACGACAATGACTCACCTCAGAACGACACTGACTCACCTCAGAACGACAGTGACTCACCTCAGAACGACAGTGACTCACCTCAGAACGGGAATGACTTACCTCAGAACGACAATGACTCACCTCAGAACGACAATGACTCACCTCAGAACGACAGTGAATCACCTCAGAATGACAGTGACTCACATCAGAACGACAGTGACTCACCTCAGAACGACAATGACTCACCTCAAAACGACAATGACTCACCTCAGCACGACAGTGACTCACCTCAGAACGACAGTGACTCACCTCAGAACGACAGTGACTCACCTCATAACGACAATGACTCACCTCAAAACGACAGTGACTCACCTCAGAACGACAGTGACTCACCTCAGAACGACAATGACTCACCTCAGAACGACAGTGACTCACCTCAGAACGACAGTGACTCACCTCAGCACGACAGTGACTCACCTCAGAACGACAGTGACTCACCTCAGAACGACAGTGACTCACCTCAGAACGACAGTGACTCACCTCAGAACGACAGTGACTCACCTCAGCACGACAGTGACTCACCTCAGAACGACAGTGACTCACCTCAGAACGACAGTGACTCACCTCAGAACGACAGTGACTCACCTCAGAACGACAGTGACTCACCTCAGAACGACAGTGACTCACCTCAGAACGAGAGTGACTCACCTCAGAACGACAGTGACTCACCTCAGAACGACAGTGACTCACCTCAGAACGACAGTGACTCACCTCAGAACGACAGTGACTCACCTCAGAACGACAGTGACTCACCTCAGAACGACAGTGACTCACCTCAGAACGACAGTGACTCACCTCAGAACGACAGTGACTCACCTCAGAACGACAATGACTCACCTCAGAACGACAGTGACTCACCTCAGAACGAGAGTGACTCACCTCAGAACGAGAGTGACTCACCTCAGAACGACAATGACTCACCTCAGAACGACAGTGACTCACCTCAGAATGACAATGACTCACCTCAGAACGACAGTGACTCACCTCAGAACGACAGTGACTCACCTCAGAACGACAGTGACTCACCTCAGAACGACAGTGACTCACCTCAGAACGACAGTGACTCACTTCAGAACGGCAGTGACTCACCTCAGAATGGCAGTGACTCACCTCAGAACGACAATGACTCACCTCAGAACGACAGTGACTCACCTCAGAACGACAGTGACTCACCTCAGAACGACAGTGACTCACCTCATAACGACAGTGACTCACCTCAGAACGACAGTGACTCACCTCAGAACGACAGTGACTCACCTCAGAACGGCAGTGACTCACCTCAGAACGACAATGACTCACCTCAGAACGATAGTGACTCACCTCAGAACGACAGTCACTCACCTCAGAACGACAGTGACTCACCTCAGAACGACAATGACTCACCTCAGAACGACAGTGACTCACCTCAGAACGAGAGTGACTCACCTCAGAACGAGAGTGACTCACCTCAGAACGACAATGACTCACCTCAGAACGACAGTGACTCACCTCAGAATGACAATGACTCACCTCAGAACGACAGTGACTCACCTCAGAACGACAGTGACTCACCTCAGAACGACAGTGACTCACCTCAGAACGACAGTGACTCACCTCACAACGACAGTGACTCACCTCAGAACGGCAGTGACTCACCTCAGAACGGCAGTGACTCACCTCAGAACGACAATGACTCACCTCAGAACGACAGTGACTCACCTCAGAACGACAGTGACTCACCTCAGAACGACAGTGACTCACCTCATAACGACAGTGACTCACCTCAGAACGACAGTGACTCACCTCAGAACGACAGTGACTCACCTCAGAACGGCAGTGACTCACCTCAGAACGACAATGACTCACCTCAGAACGATAGTGACTCACCTCAGAACGACAGTGACTCACCTCAGAACGACAGTGACTCACCTCAGAACGACAGTAACTCACCTCAGAACGAGAGTGACTCACCTCAGAACGACAATGACTCACCTTAGAACGACAGTGACTCACCTCAGAATGACAATGACTCACCTCAGAACGACAGTGACTCACCTCAGAACGACAGTGACTCACCTCAGAACGACAGTGACTCACCTCAGGACGACAGTGACTCACCTCAGAACGACAGTGACTCACCTCAGAACGACAGTGACTCACCTCAGAACGACAGTGACTCACCTCAGAACGACAGTGACTCACCTCAGAACGGCAGTGACTCACCTCAGAACGGCAGTGACTCACCTCAGAACGACAGTGACTCACCTCAGAACGACAGTGACTCACCTCAGAACGACAGTGACTCACCTCAGAACGACAGTGACTCACCTCAGAACGACAGTGACTCACTTCAGATTGACAGTGACTCACCTCAGAACGACAGTGACTCACCTCAGAACGACAGTGACTCACCTCAGAACGACAGTGACTCACCTCAGGACGACAGTGACTCACCTCAGAACGACAGTGACTCACCTCAGAACGACAGTGACTCACCTCAGAACGACAGTGACTCACCTCAGAACGACAGTGACTCACCTCAGAACGGCAGTGACTCACCTCAGAACGGCAGTGACTCACCTCAGAACGACAGTGACTCACCTCAGAACGACAGTGACTCACCTCAGAACGACAGTGACTCACCTCAGAACGACAGTGACTCACCTCAGAACGACAGTGACTCACTTCAGATTGACAGTGACTCACCTCAGAACGACAGTGACTCACCTCAGCACGACAGTGACTCACCTCAGAACGACAGTGACTCACCTCAGAACGACAGTGACTCACGTCAGAACGAGAGTGACTCACCTCAGAACGAGAGTGACTCACCTCAGAACGAGAGTGACTCACCTCAGAACGAGAGTGACTCACCTCAGAACGACAATGACTCACCTCAGAACGATAGTGACTCACCTCAGAACGACAATGACTCACCTCAGAACGACAGTGACTCACCTCAGAACGACAGTGACTCACCTCAGAACGACAGTGACTCACCTCAGAACGACAGTGACTCACCTCAGAACGACAGTGACTCACCTCAGAACGACAGTGACTCACCTCAGAACGACAGTGACTCACCTCAGAACGACAGTGACTCACCTCAGAACGACAGTGACTCACCTCATAACGACAGTGACTCACCTCAGAACGACAGTGACTCACCTCAGAACGACAGTGACTCACCTCAGAACGGCAGTGACTCACCTCAGAACGACAATGACTCACCTCGGAACGATAGTGACTCACCTCAGAACGACAGTGACTCACCTCAGAACGACAGTGACTCACCTCAGAACGACAGTGACTCACCTCAGAACGAGAGTGACTCACCTCAGAACGACAATGACTCACCTTAGAACGACAGTGACTCACCTCAGAATGACAATGACTCACCTCAGAACGACAGTGACTCACCTCAGAACGACAGTGACTCACCTCAGAACGACAGTGACTCACCTCAGGACGACAGTGACTCACCTCAGAACGACAGTGACTCACCTCAGAACGACAGTGACTCACCTCAGAACGACGGTGACTCACCTCAGAACGACATTGACTCACCTCAGAACGGCAGTGACTCACCTCAGAACGGCAGTGACTCACCTCAGAACGACAGTGACTCACCTCAGAACGACAGTGACTCACCTCAGAACGACAGTGACTCACCTCAGAACGACAGTGACTCACCTCAGAACGACAGTGACTCACTTCAGATTGACAGTGACTCACCTCAGAACGACAGTGACTCACCTCAGCACGACAGTGACTCACCTCAGAACGACAGTGACTCACCTCAGAACGACAGTGACTCACGTCAGAACGAGAGTGACTCACCTCAGAACGAGAGTGACTCACCTCAGAACGAGAGTGACTCACCTCAGAACGAGAGTGACTCACCTCAGAACGACAATGACTCACCTCAGAACGATAGTGACTCACCTCAGAACGACAATGACTCACCTCAGAACGACAGTGACTCACCTCAGAACGACAGTGACTCACCTCAGAACGACAGTGACTCACCTCAGAACGACAGTGACTCACCTCAGAACGACAGTGACTCACCTCAGAACGACAGTGACTCACCTCAGAACGACAGTGACTCACCTCAGAACGACAGTGACTCACCTCAGAACGACAGTGACTCACCTCAGAACGACAGTGACTCACCTCAGAACGACAGTGACTCACCTCAGAACGGCAGTGACTCACCTCAGAACGGTAGTGACTCACCTCAGAACGACAATGACTCACCTCAGAACGACAGTGACTCACCTCAGAATGACAGTGACTCACCTCAGGACGACAGTGACTCACCTCAGAACGACAGTGACTCACCTCAGAACGACAGTGACTCACCTCAGAACGACAGTGACTCACCTCAGAACGACAGTGACTCACCTCAGAACAGCAGTGACTCACCTCAGAACGGCAGTGACTCACCTCAGAACGACAGTGACTCACCTCAGAACGACAGTGACTCACCTCAGAACGACAGTGACTCACCTCAGAACGACAGTGACTCACCTCAGAACGACAGTGACTCACTTCAGAACGACAGTGACTCACCTCAGAACGACAGTGACTCACCTCAGCACGACAGTGACTCACCTCAGAACGACAGTGACTCACCTCAGAACGACAGTGACTCACGTCAGAACGAGAGTGACTCACCTCAGAACGAGAGTGACTCACCTCAGAACGAGAGTGACTCACCTCAGAACGACAATGACTCACCTCAGAACGACAGTGACTCACCTCAGAATGA